GTTTGGGGGCAGGGAGTGGGGTGGGGCAGAGAACAATACCACACCAAGTGGCCACTCACATGCTGCTCCGCGATGTCTCCCACGGGCTATACCAGCTTTCCTTTGTCGTCTCACGTGCTGGGTTCCCTCCAGGCTCCTCATGGAAGTGGGAGAAGGGACCGAGGCAAGATGGGAGGAGACAAGGGGGGTGAAAGGGAATGAGCACACTGTAAGTCACCCCAAAGTCAGCCGGCTCAAACAGAAGGCTCTACCCAGTGCAAGGACATAGCTGCTGCTACCCAACTTCAGAGATCTGATGCTCCAGCTTGGGAGCCAGAGGGGCCAGCTATGAGGCAGACAATGGGGTCCTGGGCCGGGCCATTCTGAGTTGGCTGAGTGATTTGGTAAAGGGCTGTCAGTTGTCACTCATGGAACTGTATGATCCTGAACAAAACTGTATTCTTTAGGTTTGTTTTCTCACATACAAAGCTTAGTCTCCACGTCCTTTGAGGTTCTGGACAGCTGATGTGGGTGCTAACCATGGAAGGCCTAGACGTGGTCAGTCATCCTTTCCACGGGAGCAGCTCCTGAGCAAATGTGGAAACCCTAGCTAAGGACCACCAAGGCTGGGAGCGGACAGGGAAGTCTTTGGAAGGGATGAAATAGGGATTAACACACAGTGAAAGAAAGAGAATCCAATTCTGCAAGGCCTTTTGGTCCTTATCAAGTCTCGCCCATCCAAAGAAAATTCTGGAACCTCTGGAGAGCTCAGAAATGGTAGCGAAAGGCTTGGAGAAGCCGGAGGCGGGATCCCCCCTGGAGAGCAGTTGACACTGTGCTGTTAAGGATGGACAAGTTGACTTGGTGATGAGAAAGGGACAAAGGGACAGGGAGAAAGTGATGAGATGGGAGAAGAGTGAAAGCAGCCCCAGGAGGAAAAGAAACCAAAGCAGGGAGAGATGGCCCAACATTGACAGTGACTGCTGCCCTTCCTGAGGAACCAGGTTCCATTCCCAGAGCCCATATCGGATGGCTTATAACTGTGTAACACCAGCTCCAGGGGCTCTAACACACCCTCTGAGGGAACACACACACACACACACACACAGGTACGCACACACGTGTGCAGCATACACCCCACGCAGAAACACGCACATACATATAAATAAAAATAAGCCTTAACAAAAAGGAAATCAGCCAGCAGGTGGTAGTGAACGCCTTTAATCCCAGCACTAAGGAGGCAGAGGCAGGCGGATCTCTTGGAATTCAAGGCCAGCCTGGTCTATAGAGCGAGTTCCAAAATAGCCAAGGCTACACAGAGAAACCCTGTCTCAAAAAACCAGAAAGAAGAAAAGAAATCAAAGCAGAGAGGCAGCCATTACCCTCATACTTCTGACCTTTCAAACAGCTATGTGACTTTGGACAGAGGCTGTAATCTCCTTGGCCAGCCATTGGGCACAATGGTACTAGTCACACTGTGTGAAGACAACAGATGACGACTACTTGACCTCATTATCCTTTCAAGCACTGAAGTCCTCCAACTTCCCATGTGCTCCCCCTCACATCTCTGGGTAACAGGAACCCAAGTTCTGCCTGTATCCCAGCCATCTGGTCCCCATGTTCAGAGCAGACCACACAAGGGCATTGAGTGAGGCTAGAGTTAGAATTCTGAGAGGCTAGCTGAGTAATAAAATCCAATGTCCACCTTGGCCCTAAAAGGGTCACTTGACAAAATGAAGGGGAGGTCAGGGGAGATGGAACAGGGATTGTGAGTGAGAGTTCCTGGCGGAACGTTCAAGGCTGGCCCAGGCCCTTGCCAACAGGTCTGTAACCACACCACAGCAAGAGGACTCCATTAGCAATCGATGTGGTTCCACGGGCATAGGGCATACAGATCCTTCTCCTAATCCCTCTAGGTCTACCCACAGCTGGTCCAGGACCTCATTAAATATCTCCTATGGCTCTGAAACGACTCTTCATTCAGCAGAGAAATTCTATCTCCTGACGGTTAATGTCTTTCAAGAGCTGTAAGAGCCACCACTAATGCCAGACCCTCTAAACATGCCAAAGCAAGATGCCCAGCAGCAGTGTGGCTCCAACTCAAGCCTCCCGGGAGGTGGCTTTCTCAGGACAGAGTTCTGAAGCCACCATGAGGTGGGCAGGGCCACACCAGAATGGAGCTAGGTGGTTCTGCTTCTGTCCAAGAAGGTAGAAGATGGGACACATATGTCCCCTGTCACCATGCTGCTAGCTAGGCCCAAGAATCCTTGGCTTCTTACAAGCTGCAGACCTTCCCAGCAAGAGCAGGTCTCATCCCCAGAGCTCCACAGAGCTGGGAGTGTGAGGCTTGGAGGAGGCTGATCACCCCCAAAATAGACTTGTGTTTTTCACAACTTTTTTTTAATGAGCCACTGGCTTCTCTTGCAGCATGGGAAGAAAAATAGCCTCAACTGTTAACAAATAAAGATTATAAAAAGCCCCAACTGTTCCCCATGGGTGTCTGTGGGGCTGCAGGGAGTGAGGTGAGGGAGAGGTGCAACCCAGGGCCTGGGTCTCTTCCCTCCGACCTGCCCCCCTCCCCTGGAGCTGTCAGAAAGCAGGGGACATTTGCCCCTTCAAAAGTGGCCCCTGTGCGCGTCTGTTCTTAACTTCCTGCTTCCAAAGGCACAGGGCAGCCTAATACAGAGCACGTCGTCGTCGTCGTCGTCGTCGTCGTCGTCGTCGTCGTAGCCAGGCTGGTTTCAGTGAAGCTGGAGGGCAGTGTGTGCAGCCCACACTGGGAAGTCTCCTTCTTGCTAAGGTCAAGTTAGCCTGCAGTTGAATCCCCTGGGTGTTGCTAGATGTCAGGGTGCAGCCCGAGTTGGAGGCTGCAGCTGCAGCTGCTTTTGAGCCTGTTTGTAGCATCACTGGGGGCTACCCAGGAAGGGACGCAGTCCTCACTTAGGTCCTGAGTCTCCCTGGAGAGCTCCAGGCTAAATCCTGCAGAGCCCTTTAATGCCTTTGCCCCCCAGCCCTGGGAGTCTTCCTGGTACCTAGACCTCTAAAGATGAAGAAAGGGAATGATGTAAATGCCCTGGCCCTGAGTTAGTAACAAGGCTCCTGTCGCTGCAGAGGCCTCAGGAAAAAAAAAATGGAGTGGCTGACTTGGGGGACCCTTGTGGGGTCCTTGGCCCTGATCTTTGACAGGAGAATAAAGGCACCTTAAGCTCTGAGGAGCTCCCCTCTTCTCCACAAAGTCTAGGAGTCATTCAGACCCACTCCACCCACCTTTAGAGGCTCAGCTCTCTCTTTCCTCCTTCTTGTTTGTCTCCCTTTTTCCTCCCTCTCCCTTTTCCCACCTCCTGGTCTAAGATTCTGCAAAAATAAATGCACGTGGTTCACCTTAGATAGCTTACAAAATGAGTAGGCAGGTGACTAGCCAGGACACCAGGGACCCTAAGGGGCGCTATTCAACCCTGAGGGTGGGATGAGGGGCTGCTGATGAGAAGTTTCTTGAGATAGCTACGGTAATGAGAAGCCCAAAGGACAGCTGTAGCATCCCTGGCCTCCCCAGGACCCCACTCTTGCCAGGGTATGATTTTCAAGTGGTTAAAAACTGTAGAGATTGCTGAGAGACCACTTTGACTTGCCACAGACAAAGTTTGCTCTGCAGGGTGTGGTCATGGCTGGCTTCAGCACCCTCACACCAGGGAGCAAACCGTGAGTGAGAGGAGCCAAGCCACAGGAGGGCTGACTCGATTCCCAATTTGCACATGAGAAAGGAAAAGGAGCTGGTGCTCAGAGTTAAGAACTTTCCATGGGACAGACAGGACACAGACGGCTTAGGGCAGGTGCCCAGGCAGAGGAGTAGGAATGTGGGCCGCTGCCAGGCTGACCACTGGAAACACATGTCCCAACTTTGGCTGTCTGGGGGTTACTACATGCTCTGGAAAATTCACTGTTGGTCACAGACTAACCCTCCTGCTACTGGGAGTGCCGGGTAGGGAGTTCTCCAGAAGCCCGAGCTTCTGGTGGAAGTTCAGGACTAGAGGCAGCCCCAAAAGGAGCTGGGAGCAGAGGTTGCTCTGTCACACTGTCCCTGCAGGGAGTCTTGAAGTCCTAGCTCAGGTCACTCAGATGTAGACCTGAGGACCAGAGAAGCAGGTGCGTTGAGATTTGGGGTCCCAGGTCCAGCTTGGGTGTTCTGGATATAAGCTGCCTCCAGTGAAAGGAAGTGATGTTTCAGACAGAGGCAGCATATAGGCACAAACCATCCTGCAGGACCAAGATGGTGAGCAACCTGGGCAACCCATGCCACACTGCCTAGCTGAGACTTAGCTTTCTGTGCAAATAATAAGGCTTGTTTGTTCACTTATCCCCGTCATTAGCCTCTTTCTCTCATTCATCAAATACATGCTAAGCTCCTTCTGGTGCCTGGTGCTGCCCTAGAGGTCACGGAGATTATGAAGTGGCAAGGATGCCAGCGGCCCAGGTCACCAAGGGACTTAGATTGGAGAACAATCACTGCTTATTCCGTGTTTATAATCTATGTGCCCAGTATTGTGTTCTATGAGCTATCTTACTTCAAACTTAAAAATCCTGTAAGAAAAGTCATCGTTATCATTGCCACCATCATCATCATCTTCCTTCTTCCTCCTCCCCATTGGCCAAAGAGGAAATGGAGATCGAAGCTTCCAGAAGGGATACGCTTTTCCAGGATCACAGAGCCGGTGTAGTCAAGCATAAAGACTCCCACCAGGCTGAGGAGCTAGGCAAGACGCAAATGGGCTGGGGTAGGTTCCTGGGGAGGGGAGTAGACGTGTGGGCTGCTGCCAGACTGTTCAGTGTTAAGCACAGCCCAGCTTCTACTGTCTGGGGCTTGCCATGTGTGATGCATGTTCATGCTCTGAACCTTTCAGATGGTCCCTTTCCAGTCTTGTCTCTGTCTCCTTACAGGGTTGTATTTGGGGGGGCGGGGGAGGGGAGCTTCAGCTTCTTGTCTGGTACTAAGTAGATAGCTGACCCCCCAACCACACACACACACACACACACACACACGTCCACCCTCCGTTTTTTGGAATTCTGAAGTGCGGTATTATCACGTAGCTTTGTGAAATCAGAGAATCAGGCTCTGCTAGCCTGGGGAACCTCTTCCAGGATTCTCTGGGTGGGGCTGGAGCCCATCTTTCCTTACACAGAGTCCAGACTATAAGAAGGTATTTGTCTATCAAGGCTGGAGTTTTAACTCAGTGTGCACTTGGCCAAGTGTACACTGGTTGGTCTTAACATGACAGGTGAGAAAGTATGGCCTGGAGGTAGGGTGAGGGCAACAAGATAGCAAATTCTGGAATTTAGTGCCTGGGGCCAAAGTGAATGTGAACAGTGATCCTTAAATGGCCACTTCAGAGAAGCCTTCTTAGTCACCCAGATTGAGCAACCTTAGCCCATGTCTCAATTAAGACTGCCTAGTTGGGATACTTGCAAGCCCCAAGAAGCCTCAGGCTCAGACCCGATCCCAGCCCTGTTCCTGACAGAAACTGAAGGTGCCTCTCACTCAGCTACTTCTTTGCAAGGGACTAACCCCAAGTCAGAGCAGGCACGAGACTGTTTGCTGGCAGCCTCCGAGCCCCTGGTCAGCTGGGACTGAAAAGAAAAGCACAGTGGACAGGTTGGGGATAGGAAAGGGGCGGAGAATGGGAATTGGAGCTATCGATCTATTTCTTTAGGGGCCCACAGATTCTACTGCCTAAAGGATTGAGAGTCCCCCAAAACGTGGAGGGTCATCCAGGGCTCAGGGTCCAGAAGATCAAAGCTATTCCAATGGCTGGAGACACTAGCAGAGGAGAGACTTTCCTGGAGCACGTGAGGCATAGGCAGGGGCCCTAACAACTCGGAGAGGCAGATCAGGTCACTGTGAAGGCCAAGGGGACCCCAACATCACCAACTGTCACTGTGGTCTATCCTGACCTGTGGCGTCTTTCAGGAATAAGAATTCGGTGGTCTGGGAAGTGGGAAGTTGGGGGGGGGGTGCCTGCTTCTCCCACCCCTTCCTTATCACCCCTCCCAACCTGGCCAGGGTCCCAAGGGAAGAATGGAGCCCAGGTTTGCACTGGCCCAGAGCTACTAACATCCCTCCCCTCGATACACCCCCAGCTGGTCCAAGTCCTTTGTCTCCTGTTCCAAAGCTGGCTGCCATGGGCAGCTGCTGGGCCACAGTCCAGGGGATGCTACAGGCTGACAGGTCAAGCACCAGGTTCCTCAGCCACCCAGTCTTGTCCTATCTTCCTATGTCACCCTTCTTCAGAGACCCAGCACTGAGAGCTACATGAAGTGGCAAGGAGTGGCCAGAGCAGGCTGGAGCGAGAGAGCCCTTTCTTTCCAGTACAGAGCCCTGTGCCAAGAGGGAGGCACTTACCTGCTGTGTCTCCCTCCTGAGGGGCCCAGCTGGCCTGTCACTGTTCCTTGTCTGCAGACAGCGGTGGGCCAGGTTGTTGAAAAGGGAGGTGTAGAGAAACAGCAGACCCATTGGAGGGTAAGGCTGAGATCCAAATCCCAGCCTACGGGAAAGCAGGTAAGTGCTCTGGTAACCAGGAGGCTGGCCTCCTGCTCTGAAACCCCCACCCCTCCCCTCCCCACCACACCCCACCCCTCCCCACCCCACCCCACCACACCACACCCCACCACACCTCACCCCACCCCACCCCTGCCTCTAGGTCTGCAGAGAGCCCAGGTGAAGCCACCTGTTCCCGCCTTTGGCCACATGAATGTTCCCAGTGCCTGGCCTAGCTTCTGCCTCCCTTGGAGCTCTATTTAGCTGCCTTCAGGCTCCTAGTAGGACTTGGGCCCTGGCCTGTCCTCCTGGATCCCTGGTGACTCACACTGCTTTGGAATTCCACTCACTGGCATTTTTTTTGATGCACTTCCTGACAGCCTGGCCTGGTGCCAGGGAACATCACTGCAGCAGCAACCCCACTGGTGATGACTTTTGTCTACCTGAACTCCAGGCCATAGAGAGAGGCTGGGGAGCGGGAAGTCAGGCCAGAGAAGCCAGGTGGGGACAGACAGGCTTTGTTCTGGCTTGGGCTCACCTGCACACAGGTGGAGAACAGCAGGAAAGCTAAGGATTAGCATGGTTGCCCAGGAAACGGAAGACAGGAAACCTAAACTGGCTACCAGGCTTCTTTCTTCTTGTGTTTTTTGAGATAGGGCTTCTGTTGCTCAAGCAATCTTCCAGCCTCGCCCTCCAAGTGCTGGGGTTGCAAGTGTGAGGGTTTCTTGGAATAGACTTGGGGGGCCTCCGTGGACCGTTTTGTGGATCTCCGAGGGCTCCAGAGGTAACTGCTGACTGCACTGTTGGACCCTCCTTAATGGCTTAAGCTGCCATCCCCGTATTGCTGTTTGAGTAACTGTCCTCACAGACTCGCAGGTTGTACACTTGCTGTCCAGCTGGGGGCACTCTTCTGACAGGCTGCGGAGCCTTTAGGAGATGGGGCGTAGATGGCAGAAGTAGATCACTAGGGGCAGACCTTTGAAGATCATTGCCCAGGAACGCCTTTGGTTCCTGGTCCACCATAGTGTGAAGAGCCTGGATCACATGCTCCCAGCCACCATAAGCTGCTACATTACCACCATGTCCTCTGGTGGGACGGACGGAAAGCCAAAACACACTTCCTCCCTGAAGCTGTCCTGTCGGGTGCTCTGCCCAAGTGACATTAAAATAATTAATACACCCCTCGTGTTGAATATCATGGGATGGGTTGGCCCTGGGTGGCATTTTAGAAAACAGAAGTGGGAGGGAACACTGCCACCATAGGGTTGGAGGCGGGAAAGGGAAGATCTGAACTCACTCCCGACTTCCCTGGTTTCCCCTAGTAGGTACCATGAGACAGGATTCACTACATAGTCTCCAGCCCAGATCCTCTGGAAGGCAGTTTGCTTCTGTCACTCGCCACCTACTTAAGCTTCCTATCTCTCCCTCCCCTCCCAGGCCTGAGGCTCCTCCTTCCCTGTGTTGTGCTCCTCCACAGAGAAGCCTGTGATTGCCCACAAAGCTGGTCCAGTGGGTACACGAAAGGGCAAGGCCAGGCACTCTGAGTGGACTCTACAGCGCCCTCACTCCATCCCTGTGCGCCACAGAGAGTGATTCCTAGGGCCATCATTTCTGGTCAGGTTAGCGGGAGGTGGCATGATCGCGAAGCCACACCCTGAAGTCTGCTCAGCCTTTCTAACATCTGCTAGAACCGTTCTCTAGCTTGGGATGAGTCCCTAGGAAAGCTATCAAAGCTTGCTAGCTCATCCTCTGCTCCCTCTGACCCCTCTAGGAGACCTTAAAGATTCCAGAGAGTGGGGATAGGAAAATGAATGCCGAGCCTCTGCTGTGGTTCCAATGTGGTGATGCCTTTCTGGACTCCTGTTGAGGTTTAATTTCTCCTTGTGGGGTGGAATTGGGGTATGTGACCGAGAGAGTGGTATTTGGGTCATGGGCAGGGGCCTCAGGAATGGATTAAAGTTGTAAGAAAGTGGGTAGATTTTCATAGAACTGGGTTAGTTATCGTGAGAGTGGATAGTTGGAGAGCAGAGCCATCCCATTTGTGTTTTCCACATGCATCCACTCTTTTGCTTGTGTGTGTGTGTGTGTGTGTGTGTGTGTGTGTGTGTGTGTGTGTGT